GCTTTCATAATATTTCTTTTGTTCATTTTCTGAGGTGTGCAAATAGTGGATCACAAAAGAGTCTTCAGACTTGGGGGGGGGGGCATTATAAAATGCTTGTGTTCTGCTGGCTAATACATGGAGTCTGAATATGCTCAGGAAATCTCCCACCATGCTCCAAGAATCTCAGGAGCACACGTCTCCCTATGGACCACAGGTTTGCTTCAACAGCCATTCTTTCTTACCGTTTCATATGTGACCCTCTAAAAGTGGATCTTTAACCAAAGAGAGTGACTTTATTTCCCAAGGGAGTTCAGGTACTTGTTAAGGCTGTGATCTGTCCTGGGCTGCCCTGAAAGGCCTGCCAAACAGACACTGCCATTTATTCCACATCCTCTAAGAAGTCGTGTTTCTGTTCTCTCTCTGTGTCATCCACAACATTTATTCATCATGTACTGTGGGTCAAGGCATAAAAAAGTGCTTTACATGCAATGTCAGCTCGAATCCTGTAGACAACTGTATAAAGTAGGGGCTATTTTTTTTTCAAATTACATCTGATAAATTGGAGGGCTGGTTAGGGTTCCATTCAGCTATGGCGAATGGGAAATGTGACATAATACCTCAAACAAATAAGTTTTAAAAATATTTCTCATATCATGGAGGGAAAAGGAGGCCGTTAAGGCCTGATATGGTGGGCTTCAGATGCTGTCAGCTCTCTGTTTTGCCCTCTGTAGCACATAGAGTTCCTCCTCACGTCTGTGGCCGTGTGGCTCCAAGATGGCTGTTCTACCACTGGCCTTGTTGCTCCAGAATTATAGGAAGGACAAAGAATAAGACATTGATCTCAGCCCTAAGTGATTTAACCCCCAGAGGACATTTGACAATATCTTGGGACATTTTTGGTTGTCACAACTTGTTGCCATTGGCATCTAGTATTTAGAACATCCTATAACCTGCAGGACAGCTCCCAGGAGAATTATCTGGCCCAACATAATGTCAGTAGTGATAAAGTTGAGAAACCTTGGACCTACAGGCAGAAAGCACATATCAGCCAGGTCTGTCCTCTTTAAAAATAAGATTTGTGGACATGGAGCAAGGCCTTTGTTAGATGTCATTGGCTAAAACCTCATCTCATAGCCACTCTATCAGCAAAGGAATTTGGGTGATGCCGCTATTTTTGTTGGGTCCATTGTTATCTTGAGTAGAATTGGGGTCCTGATAATAAGTCACGGAAAGGAGAATGGATATTGGTTAGACAATAGGCAATACTTGCTTCAGAAAGGTAAATACTTTGCCCAAGGTCACAGAGGTAGTGAAGGTTAGCTCTTGCTTGAGCCTCTTTCACTGTCGGAGGTCCTGACGGCGGTGTGAATCAGGATAGAAATGCATGCATTGGTTATGGAAAACTCTGGGGTTTTTGGTCCACCACAAGCAGCCTAGGAAATACTTCCTGCAGGATATAATATGCAGTCTGTGATCTAACATACCACTGCTCTCTCAGTGTTCCCAGTGGGACTTGCCTTTCCTTCTTGTCCATCTGACCCTTGGGCAAATGATTTCGGACCTGCCTCACCAATACTTCTGTCCTTGGGCCTCCCCTGATGGCACAGTGGTTGAGCGCTGGGCTGCGAAGCTGCCCGCAGCCTCTGCAGTGCCGGTTCGATCCCCGGCCGCCGGTGAGGGTCCCACATGGCGCGCAGACCTCTCCTGCCACGCCCGCTGCTCCCCTCAGCAGTGTACTTCGTCGGTCTGCCTATTCTGTTCCCCGCTCTGGCTCTGGTGAATTCTCTCACCCTCCCGCGCTTCTGACTGTGCCCAGTACTTGTATAAATAAATAAATAAATAAATAAATAAATAAATAAATAAATAAATAAATCTTAAAAAAAAATACTTCTGTCCTTCAGGTCATCTAACTGTGGGTGCTTCATCTCTCCCATTCTGAAAAAGTTGCAAAGTGATATCATCATCATTTCCTTAAAGGGTGTACTAGTTAGGGTTCATTCGGGCAAATGAATGTGCTTTAAGTATATCAAACAAGAAGAGGTTTAATCAAGGGACTGGAGGCTTATGCAACCATTGGGAGGGCTGGGAAGTGAAGGGCAGAGCATGCCAATGCTCTCTGCTTCCTGTAGGCCAAAGAAGTCTTCTCAGGAGAATCCCTGGAAGCTGCTGGCAAAGCATGAGGTAGGCTGTGCCTGCCGGTACCCACCGGCAGCAAATGAATAAATGGCATCTCTTCTTCTACCTTTTGAATCTTCTATGAGTGTTTCTCATTGGCAGAATTTGCTCTGGAGTCATGCCCCCTGGGATTTTGGGACATATAATGCTGGAACTTCTCCGGGAAGAATGCAGAATGGGGTGGGGTGGGGTGATATGGAATTGCCTGAACAGACTGGCAAAAAGAGCATTTGCATTTGAATTGAGGCACATGCATGCACGCACACACACACACACACGCACACACGACATTTTGGAAGGAAGAGCATGTTGTATTCAGATATTGGCAATGTTGCTACTAGTGTTACTACCTTATTCTATCTCTGTTTCTTTGGGAGATAAATAGGGACTTTTTGTTTCTCTGCTCTGTCTTCAAGTCATGGTGATGCTAAATAAATAATACACTCGATTTCAATAACCTGCACATGCAGTGCCGAGGTAATACATTCTGTGACGCTCCAAAGCGCAGCGGGGGTCCCAGAGCATTAGGCTTCACAACAATGCATGATTCACCAGCTTGCTCGGGAAAGACCAGTGTTTTAAAACAACTGTTTTCTAAACAGGATGATTCAGCTTGTACATTTCTTTAGTTCGGAGGTCACTCTCTGGAGCTCTTTATTCACTATCATTATGCGTGTGACTTGTGCTAAGCTGATAAAATACAGTGAAGAATTAAATGCAGTGCAGGAAATAATAGAACCATCTCAGAACAAAGTAGACCTATAGACACGATCTATTGTTCAATGTTGGGAGAGAGTCATAACCTCTAGTTATCTGCTATCTGGGTCACATCAGGCTTTTAGTGTAACTCATGGGGTTTTGAAGGCAAAATTTGATCTGTGCTGCATTTGACTCTCTGGAATAGCAAAACCCATTATGACTGTATCTTACGCACTTGTAAAATCCTCTCTAAGTCTTGAGTTTCAGTTTTCTGCTGCTATTTAATATTTGAATTATTTCAAGGAAGATAAGGAAAACATCTCATCTATTTATTTCTGGAGTGAGGAAAATTGAAAGTGACTAACAGAAAAAACTCGTTACCTAGAGCAGTGGCAAAGGTCACTGGAATAAAACCACCGTGCTGGAATGTTTTGCTGGAATAAAACCACTGTGCTTGGGGTTGCCTGGTGTCTTATGTTGGATCTTCTTGAGGCAGAACTGGAGGCGAGGATTCACATGCAAGTGCTTCATTCAATGAGAGCTCCCGAGAGAAACTGGCAAGGGAATGGAGGAAGTCAGCCAGGGAAGGGTGAGAGACGGGCAAAGTGCAATTTCAGGTGGCGTTTCAGACTCGGCCTGATCCTGCAGGGAACTCGGGAATACACACTGTTCCTCAGTTCATCCTGAATTGAGGCAAAGTATCCAGGCCTTGACAGTCCTGCTGTAGCCCAGTCCTCGGCTGAGGACTGCTGGTGTGGGGGAGGGGTGAGCGTGGTGGGCAGATACACTGGACTGGGAAGTAACTGTGTCCATATGCAGGCCAGGTGCCCTAAGAGCGCTAGGCAGGCCTGGGAAGACTCACAGGGGCTGATCATTAGTAAAGGCAAGAACACAGATGCTGGGAAGGGGTGTGCAGAAGCAATAAAAGCAATCCCAGGGGCTCTGGGCAGAGTCCCCACAATGTCCTTACTCTCAGTAAGCTGCGGTTTGGATTTTGCAAAACCCAGACTCTGGACAGAAGAAAGAGAAATTTTCATGTGGAGCTGCAAAGTTTCTCTAGAGCCTTGCTCTAGAGCAAAGCTTTTCTACAAAGGGGCAGAGAGTTAATATTTGTGGGTCACAGGGTTTCTGTCCCAAGGACTCAGCTCCCCAGCCTCAGTGCAAAAGGACCCGTAGATTACATGTAAACGAGTGGCATGGTCGTGCTCCAATAAAGCTTATAAAAACAGAGAGGGCCAAGGGAGATGGGATTTGGGCTCCTTGTATGTACCTGGGGTGATTTCTCCTTTGCTCATTCCCTATATAGTGCAGAACATGGCGATCATTAGGGTACCTTTCCAAAGGATGGCCATGGCACGTCTTCAGTAAGTCTGGACCCAGACTGTCTGCCTCCAGTCTCCCTGGCGTGCTGGCCATCATTCACAAGGTGGTATGGATAACCTTGGGAAAAAATATTGACTAAAAAGATGTAGTTCTCTTTTAATTGTAAAATAAGTTGGAGACTCTAAACTATAGACTCACACTCCTGCATTTGGTGTCCAGGAATCCCTGTGATTTGCCCCCAGCTTGTTCGCCTGTGTTGTTTTCTGCTCTCCACCCCACGTGTTGTCTGTTCCAGCCTCAGCCAACTACTGACCATCTCTTTGACATGCCCCGTGTGTCCTGTCTCCCTGTTTTTGCCCCTGCTCTTTCCTCCCTGGCATGTTGCTGTGCTCAGCTCTGCATTGAGAAACCCTAAGCATTCTCCAAGACCCAGTTTGGCCACCTTCTCCATGAAGCATTTCCCCACGAACAATCAGCTAGCATCCTGGATTTGGCAACAGTCCTATCCGTTTCTAGAACCTATAACCCTTGAAGCAGGTACAATGGTGTAAACCTACTTTTATCTCAATAAACATAATCTGGAAAGGAAAAAGATGTCCTATTTATTTGGTACTGTCTAGTTATTTGCTACATTCTCTATGTTTTTAGTCTATCGAGAACAGGGATCAAAGTAAGATTTTTCTTTCTTGCCCTTCGCAGCAGGTTGGAAATAGTATATATTCAGGAAACAGAGTTTTCAGGTGACAATTTCTACATCCTGTGATTATTAATGACTTAAGTGCCGAAACTCTGACATCATTTTTTCTTTTTCCTTTTTATAGGCGAGAGCTGTTTTGGCAAAAGTTGGCTATCCTCATTTTATAATGAATGATACTCATATTAATGAAGACATTAAGGCAGTAAGTACTAAATTTACTGTATTTTTTTTTCTGGCACCTTTTACTGGCCTTGTGCCTTTCTGCTACCCAAGTCCAAGCATTTAAACCTGGTAGTGCCAGAAGGCACCGGCTTTTGATTCATTCCCTGGCTGCATACGGGCCTCAATATGCCAGGCATATCACAAGATTTAGAGCAGATTCAAAATAAAGGAAGTATGAGAAAGAAGGCATAGCTGAGTGGATATCATAAAGAAAATGGGCTTGGATTCGATCTAATTGGATCATAAAGAATTAAACAAATTGAGTATTTTACAATTAGTGGGCATGTTCTAATGGTGAATGCATGATGTTTGTTGTTAAACAATCTTTATGTGCTTCATATTAAATGACTAGTAGTAAATCTGCCTGCTGGGAGTTAACTTCATTAAACTTTATGAGTGTTTTGGCAAATTAAGTACATATACTGTGCCTCTATAATTTATTGTGAATTGGACAGTATATTTGCAGCTACTGAAGGAGAAATAGTCATAATTCTTTTTTATTCCAATATTGTAGGACTTGTATTTTCCAGTAGATATATTTATTACAGACCTTTCTAATCACAACCACTGTTATTTTCTTTTCAACAAATACTTTGGATCAAGAACTTTTTCTTCCTCACCAATACCCTCCTGTTTTCACCAGTCACTAGATTTTCTTGAAAAAGTTGTTTTTGAGAGTGCTTTAAATAAGGTGATTCTGAGGTGTGGCCTTTCCTGGAATTGTGGTTTGACAAGTCACATATCTGAAAGCATCAGCATTTTCTATCAATAGATGAACATCAGAATTTTACAAGGGCATCCTAAAGTGAGGGAAAGATTGAGTTAGTGAACTTCTCCATTGGACTCCTAGATGCAGTCTTCCAAAGTAGTGAGCCAGTTGTGGAGGAAAATCATGATGCTTCCTAGTCCCCCCAAGCTCAGACAGCCCACCTTATTATACATTGCTTTGATGATGAGAAGACGCTCACTATTATTAAGACAGTTCAAAACACTCAAGTGCAGCCACTGTGACACGATGGCATTTATCTCCATTTTGCAGAAAAGGACGTGGAGACTCAAAGAAGTTAGTTGAGTCTTCAGTGCAATAGTGTCAGAGCCAGGACTGAAATCTGGGTTCAGGAATCTCTGTCATCAGAAAAGGGGTTTTGCAGGTCCCTGTCAGGCAGCCGGGTGGAGGAACAGAGGCATGAGCTTAAGAACTTGCCTAGAGCTGGTTGGGAAGGAAAAGGGAAGACGAGGGGTCGGATTGTGAAGTGGTTAAGAACACAGTCCTTGGAGTAATTCTGCCTCCTCCTTTTACTAGTTATTTGATTATGTGCAAGTTACTTAACCTCAGGTAGCTTCCCTTTAAGTTATCTGGAGAGTGGCGAGAATAATAAGCGAGTCTTTATATTCCTGGGGAGATTAAACGTGATGATAGAAATGAAAAAGCAGCTCTCACAGTGTGGCACCGAAGTAGGCTTCCTACAGATGGCAGCTATTTGTCAGTCAGTATGAGTGCTGTTGGTGCGACAAAGAGCATCACCAACGTACAAAGTACCTGCGCAGGAGATCCTGGGTGATTCCATGTGCATGACAAATATTCCAAGTCAAGGATGCAGACAAGAAGGCTAGAGGGGCATTTTGGTGTACTTACGTAGATACCAACGTGGACCCTGGAATCAAAGTATGTGAAAATAAATCTTCCATTTACTAGCTGTGTGACTTATGCTAGGTTGTGCAACCTCTCTGTGCCTCAGTTTCCTCATCTGCAAAATGGAGATAATACCCTCCCTGATAGGGCTGCTGTGAGGATCAGGTAAGTTAATATCTTTAAAGTATTTGGGAGCAACCCTCTCACACAACAAGCACAATGTAGGTGTTAGTTATGACATCTTCAGTCTGCACTTATGATAGTAAATTTTACTTGGGCTTGGAGAAGTCATTAGGAATTAACTCATGCAGTATCCAGGTCCTTCAAATTGATTTAAAAGGCTCTACAGATGGAACTGTCTCAAGCTTTAATCAAATAAGACAGCATTCAGGGCTCGCTCACAGTATTTAGTTGATCAAGTATTGTGGACAGTCTGCTGCTGTCTAAAGAGAGTTGCTGAAAATTTAAGGACTCAGTGAATGAAGCCAGATGCCAAACAGGATGTGATGGTGGGTACATTTCCTCGTTTCTCCAGGGCCTGACCCAAAGCCATTAGACACCAAGATTTTTAAGCACTCTGGTGAAGAAGCAGCTTTCATCTGACTCATTGCCCTAGCAGGCACAACAACACCCAACAGTGTGTAACAGTTTAAAAGACAGACGGTGGAAGAAATCCAAACACATGAAATAAAAATGCATGTGCGTTCCGAAACTGTTAGAGAAAGTGAATAAACCCAACCTGAAAATAGGTGAAGGATGCTTGATGCGATAGGTAGCGGGAGTGTCACCGAGGTTAATAGCGACAGGACTAAAGCATTGCTGGTACACAATGGGGCTGTTTTCGATTTTGAAACACATAGATAAAGCCTGCTAGAGGGTCTCTGAGAAATTTCTGAGGCGCTCAGAGCACGAGAGGCTGTAATGCATGAAAAACAGCTTGCTTTATTTGACGCAGGTGAAGATAGGATTCTTCAGGCCCCAGCGCAGACGGCAAGAAGCTAGAGATTAGGTAATGGAGCACATGAAGGTCAAGGAGAAAGGTTGAAAACTGAAGTTGGGCTCATGTGGTGATAAGAGCAAATGGAAAAGAACTTAGAGGCAAATGTAAAGAATTGGGGAAAAGCTTCCCACCCCCACCCCGCCATAACACAGTGAACTTGAGATACCCAGCAACATAGGTCTGAACAACAATCTTTCTGTAGTTTCTGAAGTCTCTGAAAAGAGCGAGAGGAAAGGAGCTGTCCTTTATGGGAATCCCCAGTAGCCTGCAGAGAAGCCCACTAGTTAGTCCGAAAAGGTAGGCATCCGTCGATTTCAAATAAACCTTAAAAGAGTGTTCCTTCGTTGATGCTTGATGGAAATAGATTCAGGAGTGCGCTGCTACTGACTTTGGGGAGATTGCTGATCAGCCAGGAAAGGCAAAACCACGCTAGGTATTTCCGAGAGAGGAGATTTAATACAGGAACTGGGTGAGAAGGCAAAAAATCAGGAAGGTGAGGTCAACCCACGATTTCTAACTCCTGGGAGCAGTTACACCCCCCGCCCCCCGGGGGTGTAAGGACACAGAAGGGAGGAGGTGACGATGCCTCCCTTGGCAGAGCAGAGAAGGGCATGCCACTCCAGCACTGGGGCCGTGGAAGAGAGGCTGAAGATTCTTCAGGGGTTGTGGCCAGAAGAAGGAAGGTCAGGTGGGGGTGGGGGGTGAGAAGAACGAGAGAACAAACACAGCACCCTTTCCCCTCCTGCCACTTGCAGATTTCCCCCAATGCCCCCTAGTGACAGGAAGCCTTGTGGCGGTGGGTGGAGCCAGTGACATTTTCAGATTCCCAGCCGGGCAGCGTCAGAGTGAAAGGGTGGGCATGGAGCTGAGCGACGACAGGTACATACTCGGCATAAATAGCCCTTCACTCCTTGTGGAAGCCCTCGGGGAATCCCAACAGGGACTCAAGTCCGAATCACACTGGCTTCCAATTAGGAGACTGCGTAAGAGTGATCTTTCAGAGGTCAGTGTTTCTGGTGGGTAACACACACACATACACACACACACATGCACATGCACACGCATAAATATACAAAGAGAGGTTTATAGTCACTAGGTAAACCCATACCATATTCTCTGCGGCGCATCTTGGTCTGCTCTGGACATGGGAACGTGCGTGCGTGTGTATGTTGGAGATGTATAGATGTATAGATGACAGAGTTCTGCTATGGTGCAAGAGCGAGGTGATATTTTAGGTAGAATATTCCACAAAGGTTGTTAAAAAATTGAAATCTATATACTATTTGGCAAAAATAAATAAAAATAAAGCATTGCCCTTAGTTCTCCCAAGGGATCTGTGGCCAGCATGGCCTTGGAGAGCCGAGAGTGGGCCCTGGGCTGTATATCCTGTGCCTGCCAGCTGCCGGCCAGCCCCCTGTTCTTCCCCCACCTCGAGTGTTCCACCGGCTAGAGCAGGGCAATGCTGCCCCTGACCTACGCAGGTGGCAACAGGGCATCTGGTTCCACCTTTATGTGGTTGTTTGTGCATCTTCCCCGGTGTACCTTGTATGTGGGGTTGCTGGGCATTTTGAACATCGCCCCTGAAGTAGCTATGCATGTACATGTGCTCATGCACGACTGCGGGAAAAGCCATGCAGACACAGGAATCTGGCATGTTGCTTTGCTATTTAAATAAGGGAAAACATAGATATAAAATCTGGATTCCATCAAATATTCAGGAAATTCTTTGGGTGCTTAGCACAACACTTTAAAAATAAGTATTCAGATCTATCTCTGTGTATCTTTAGATGGATTTAACTTCAACAAAGAGTGTTCCAGGATCTGTACTTCTTATGGGCTTACGGGAAGTGTGTTATCAACATGTATTTCCTGATCCTACAGAGATGGACCCATTTTCTTGTTCTGCCCTGTTGCATGCTCCTGGCCTTGGGGGAGTGTCATGGTGTTATTCTTCCATTTAGTCTGTTACACTTGCTTGGCATCTAGGATAAGCCTCTTCAACAAGAGATTCCAGATTCCCCTAAATTTTATGATCTGGACCGTTAATCCCACGAAATGACACGAGAGTCCCAATAGTTTCCAAAAGTTAGTGATGGCGCAGTGGTTGAGCGCTGGGTTGCGAAGCTGCCTGCAGCTCTGCAGCGCCGGTTCGAGCCACCAGGGAGGGTCCCACATGGCGCGAGAGCTCCTAGCAGTGTACTTAATCTGTCTGCCTGTTCTGCTCTCTGCTCTGGCTCTAGTGAATTCTCTCACCCCCCGTGCTTCTGACTGTACCCATTTGAAAAGTCAGGAGACGGAATTGATTGAAACTCATTAGCAGCTTGACCCAGATTTTCATCAGCAGCTAAAAGGACAGGAGGCTTTTGAGCCCATTCTTGCCCCTTTTAGAGTTTGAACATTTTTGTTTCTTTTAAAGATTACAGTTGGTTTTAAAATATTCATGTGCTTTCATTCTTGTTGCTGTCTCCATAACAAGCGGGCTTTCCCAGTGGCTGCTGAGTTTCATAGTTTCTTCTCACTCCAGGGCCTGTTGAAATATTTGAGATGATCAAAGTGTTGCCGTAGAGTGGAAATATTTGGCAGTAGAGAGAAGGGACGATAAAGCACCCATACCATTAGGACTTGAACATAGTAATAACTTCCACATCAGTGTGTTGGTCTTTCTCCTTTTGTGTAGCGGTACTCTGTAGACATCCTAAGTGCCCACTCTATGTTGGGGAAGAGAGAAACGTCAGCCAGGATTTGCAAACAGGCCACTGTCAAATTGTACTTGCGCTGCAAAGCCGGTGGGTTCCATATACGTGCATTGGGTGTATCTTGATTTTTGCATTTAAAAGAATATCATGGCTTACTTACAAAAATATCACAACTAGTAAGTTTTGGATTACTTTTGCTTATTTGCTTTTTCAAATGAGTGTTTTTTCTTATTTGCCACAGTAATATATTTTAAAGCCTGTGCATGAGACATCAATGTAAAGCGTTGCTTTTACTGTTCCCTGGATCTTATTTATAATACTTAGGTTACATACTGCTAGTTTTATAGTTCGAGTGCCTGTGGAATTGAAACTGCCATTTTCCTTCTGAAAAAGGAAAGGAACTCAAGAAACCATTGTATCTATTTTAGTAGCTAACACTGGAACAAGCTATCAACTTCCTGTTTCGCAGGCAAGGTGGAATCTATGATTTGCCTTTGTAATTTCATTAATTTTTAGTGACAAGAGCATCTTTGAGTGTTAATAGATAACTTCTGCTAATAATTTAATTATTCCAGTAACTCCATTGTGCTTAGGGTGGAAAGAAGTCTCTGAATCGTTTTCATTTTTTTTTCCTTTCATGAACAAATGCCGATTACAGTAAATTGGATTTTAACGTTTGACTAAATCATTATCTATAAGCTAAATGAGGTTTCAGCTGACCAAACTGAATGTTATTAGAAGAACCTAGGTGACAAATAAATAAAGTGCACATTTTAGAAAAGATCAAGGACTCATGTAGGCCAAGAAATATCCAACCTAGGATAATATGTTCTGTGAAGGTTAAAGTAGGTTTTTCAATTATAAAGCAAATGAAACGCATTGCAAATGACTGCAGCTTCTCTTGTTTTTTCTCTGTGATCCAGAAATGACCATATTGATTTTTAAGGTTTTTATTTTAAAAGAAAATCACTGAGATTAAATTTCATGGCTTTGTGAGTCCTGGGTTAACCCGTGAGGGCTGAGATGCTGTGAGGAGCGGCGTTTCCCGTTGGGCGCTCATTTGTCCACTGGTCTTTTTACAGAGTCATTTTTTTTATCTGCACTTAGGACAATGATGGTTGTGGTTTGTTTTATTCAGATGAAGTTTTCAGAATCCGACTACTTTGGCAACGTCCTGCAAACCCGCAAGTATTTAGCGCAGTCGGATTTCTTCTGGCTGAGAAAAGCTGTTCCTAAAACAGAGTGAGTAAAACGAAAAACCAAAGTGAAATCGAGAACTATGCTGGTGGGAAGTGGAGTCTCTTTAGATCAAACGTGGTTAAATCCCTCAAGTCAGAGTAACTGGCACCGCAAATATCTTGATTTGGTAAAATCCGTGTTATATTTTGACAACTCTTATTTCTGCCAGTATCTAAAAGCGGTTCTTTGTTCTCATTATGGATACCCCACTCCTTGCACGAAAACCTGCCCCCAAAAGGTTTATTAGGATGCAAACGGGCAGATCATCTCTAGATCTAGTTATAAATAAAAAAACATATATGTATATATCTCACAAAGTCCCTAGATTTTCACACTGATAAAATTTTGAAGCTCTTTAAAAAGAACAAATATTTAAAAAGTAAAGTATGATGACAAATGCAGAAGTAATTGTATATTTATGAAGTAACAAGAAGATATTTATTGGGTTTTGAGTGTCAAAAGGACCTACAGTTCTGTTATGTTCCTTCTGTAGTAGTCGTGATTCCTTAACCTTCTCCCCAGCTGCCAACAGGAGCTTTCCTTATAGGCTGCAGAGTTTCCTTGGGTACTTTAAGGGCTGGGTCAGCCATGAGTTCTTTCCCCAGCAAAACATGGATGATGACGATGACAGCAGCCGGCAGCGCTCACCTGTTTACAATGTGCCAGGAAGTGCTTCATTGTTTTCATTCATTTTAGCATCTGTTCAGTTCTTTGAGGTGTTTGTTTCCACTCTTTATCATAATCCATTTCTTACACGTGAGACATTCTTAAGCTCAGGTTTAGATGAATTTTTGTTCTGTCTGTTGGCACTTTTGACTCTGCTCTGCTACGATCCACTTCTCCAATGTTTTTTCTTTCTGTTCTCCATATTGGATAATTTCCATTTATCTTCAGATTCAGGGATCCTTTCTTCTGCATTCTCAAATTTGCTGTTGGTCCATGCAACAAGTCTCTCATTTTGATTATTGTGCTTTTCAACTCCAGAGTTTCCATTTTGTTGGTTTTAGTTTTTCTCTGCTGTAATTCTTTATTTGTTGAGTCATCGTTGTCATATTTTCCATTAATTCTTTGAATATAGTTTATTTTAATTAACTAATATATAATGGCTACATTCTTTGCCAAATCCTACATCTGGGCTCACTTAGAGTCAGTTGCTTTGAATGCTTTTTTTTTTTTTTTACACTTTTTCTTTGTGTAGCATATTTTTTGTTTTTGAGAGTGATATTTTAGATAATAGAGAAACTGTGGATTCTGATTTATTTCTGAAATTTTTTCAAAAAGTAAATTTTTGTAGATTCTATCTCTCTTATAGTATGTTTCTGCTCATTTTAAAAATTATTTTAAAATTTAACCTTATTTATTGAAACAACATTGCATTATAACATTATATAAGTTTTAGGGGTTCATCATTGAAAATCAACCTGCGCATATACTACATTAAGTTCTCTGCTAAAAGTCCAATTCTATCCTTCACAATACAATTGTTCTATTTTTCCCTAATTTCCCCACCCTCTTCCCTTCTGGTAACCACTAATTGATCTTATACACCAGAAATTTTAACTGTTTTTTAGTTTCACTTCCTAGGAGTTGTCTGAATAGCTTAGTGCTCAGCTGGGGATCAGCTCAAACACCTGAAGTCCTCTACCCTCTGCTAATTGATCTGAATGTGGCTGGAGGGATGCCGAGGCACAGGGAGTTCCCAGTAGGCCTTGCAGTTGACTTTCCACTGGACTCTGGGGTTTCACCTGTATATGTGCTGAGTTTCCTTGTTAGTCAGGGGCATGTAGAGGCTCTTCTGTGACTTCCAGGATCTTCCTTTAAAATTTGGCTGGTCACTCTCTCCAAGGGAGCTGTGACTTTAGATGAACTGTGGGTTTTCCTTACTTGTTTTTGACCAAATTTGTCACTTTTAGCTGATAGGGCGGTAGGTTTTCACCCCCTTCCCTGACTGAGATCACCCCTTGTAGCAGCAAAGCTGCTGATTTCCAGTCAGTCCTCCTGACGAAGTTGAGCTCTCCCTGACAGAGCTGGGAGGAGAGAGAGTGACCGGTAGCCAGGCAAGAAGGCCACAGACTTCCTGTCCTACTGACTTGCATGCCCCAGTAGTTTTTCAGATTTAAATGTTTTTTTAACTTGTTGTTCTCCTTGCTCAATTCCCAGAACCTTAAAGTGGTTGTTTACAGTTTTGTACAGTTTTATACTTGGTTTTTGTGGAAAAGATTTGTTGACCTTTTCATATCTTCCTAGCTAGAAACCTGGCTTGCATGGCCCACTTTTTTTTTCTTCCATGCTTCACCTTTTTTTTTTTTAGATTTATTTATTTATTTTTATACAAGAACTGGGGTACAGGCCACATGCACAGGAGGGTGAGAGGATACACTGGAGACAGAGCGGGGAACAGAACAGGCAGACTGACGAAATACACTGCTGAGTGGAGCAGCTGGTGAAACAGGAGAGGTCTGTGCCATGTGGGATTCTCGCCGGCCAGCCGGGATCGAACTCACACTGCAGAGGCTGCGGACAGCTCCACAATGCGGTGCTCAACCGCCTGTGCCACCAGGGAGGCCCACGCTTCACTTTTTAACCTTGGCTGATATTTTGGTTTCCAGATCTTTGGCTGTTTCCTTAATGCTCTCCTGGTCTCTTGTTATTCTCCCTTCTAACTTGCTGCTGTGCCCTGGCCTCTAGGAACTCTGGACTTGGCAATGTTCTTTGACTTAATCTGTGATGACCACCTTTCCCTCATAACCGGGGCTCCTATCAGACTCCCCCACCCTCTCCCCTTTGCAGCTTCCTACAACACAAACCACAAGCCAGTTAAAAGCATTTGACTTTAAGGACTGGATCTGAAACTGAACCATTCCCCTACCTGTCCCCCATTCCAATCAAAAAACACAAAGAAAGCAGAAGGCTGTAGAACTTCTTTGAAAATGACAGACAACTGGTTTAAAGCCATCTGCTCCACTCTCCTTGGTTCTCTCATCACCATCTCTCACTCTATATATTCTGCTTCATTCCCAACCTAAATTATTCAATAGAAATTTTAGATTTAGGGCTCAAAAACTAGCTTCTCAAATCCGTTGGCTTCAGTGAGTGCTTTCCATGAGCACCTACATGCAGTCTGGGAGTCACAGGTAAATCATCCTGCCCTTTAAGATCAACTTGAGATCTGGTGGAAAATTCAAGGCTGTCCATGGTATTTTTGTGAGTTTTCAGGGTCTTTCAGGGATTCCTACATATTGGAGATGCTGCCAGGTTAATTCTTCAATTTCAAAATGTTATTCATTTGGGTGTAGCGAGGTGAATTGAGAAACTCCTAGATGTGTCATCTTTAGCATCCTAAAATACTGATGGGCTGTCAGATTCCAGTGGTCTTGACTGTTTCTAATATTTTATTCATGCCTTGGAAAAATGCTGGCTGGCTTAGGCAAACTGTGATTTGTGTAGTTTTCTTCTTGGTCGATGAAAACAAGTACCTCTTTCACAAGGACTTTAAGTTGGTAAATGTTTCTGGAAATCTTCTCCAGGAATAGAACCAGTGCAATGCTAATGATTCTTATTTTCTCAGCCTGTATGTTGATTTTATGAAAAGCAACATTAAGACATTTCTGCTACTCTTGGCACTGCAAAGTCCTTTTTTTTTTTTTTTTTTTAAATTTCTGGCTGGCCCCTTTCAGGCATTGCAGGGAATTTTAGCTTCATGATACACATTGGCTTTAATTGACATCCTTTAGGTCTGACAATTCATGAGTTAATCGAGTGGGAGTGATCTGGAATAGCTCTACTACACTAGTTTACTTTGAACAGCACATCGTGATTATATTTGCACAAAGCCTGGAAATAACATTTTGCTTCTTTGTGGGGAGAGGAGATAAATACCCTTTATCTTTCATTCTCATGGAATCCATTTCAGCTGCACTAATGTGCATTAAGAACTTTCTAACACGATGGGAAATGTCAGCAAGAATGAAATTAATTGGGTGGTCATCCCTGAAGGTATGTATTTAGGGGTTGGTTCTCAGAAGTGTCACTTCAACAGCTTGCTTAAAAATAGAGGATTTACTTCACTGCTCAGCTTGAGTCAAAAGTAATTTCTTTCCCTCAGGATCCCCTTTCTTTGACAGAAATGATTTTAAGCCAGTTTCCCTATTAACTCATTTTCATTCTACTGTGACCAAACATGTCTGGATTTTCTTTCTCCATCCTTTAAAAAATATGTAAAAATTCATCAAATGTCTACACAAATGATGGTCGCGCCCAGAAGTTTGGTTTGCAAAAACATTAGCTGTAGCATGGAATGGAATTGATATATAGGATATTAGAAATAAAGCTGTAACTACTCTGTTTATTCTCATTCCATGTTCCCTAGACTATCATTAAAATGTCACAGGTAGAAAGTAACACTTTAGCCTGATGTATATCTTTAGATTATAGTACTCCAGGATTATACTCCTTTTATGTATCCTATTGTCCAGTTTCATCCCCATGTATTTGAAATTTATATGAAACTTTTTACCTTATCTACTAAATAATCCCTCAAACACAGACTGCAAGAATGCACTGAAGACATACTACGAAGAATTTAAACCACGTGTGTGCCACCCTTTCTTTATCCGAGCTGATGTGTACATAGCGATAAATGGATTTTACTAGATTCAGTGATCTTTGGCTCAGCGCATCCCACTTGGCCAGTAGTCTTAGCCCATACAAAACTTAAAATCTTGTGGGGTGATAGAAATTGTGCAAGCTTATATGCCTTCAGTGCCCAATCAGTTAATAAATGGGGGATGTAAGTAGGTGTACATGATAGGGAGTTGTGATGACTGTGAGAATTGGTGGTGGCACACCTCATTAAAAGGCATTCCAAGTCAGCACTTTTTTAAACCATTGTATTGGGCAAACAATATTTTTTTCTGGAAGAATTCAGCCTACTGGGTGAGATATAGTCTGCGGTCAGCTGACTTTTCAGTGTTCGAGTTATCTACTGCTGTGTAACAAAGCACCTCCAAGTTTCAACAGAATTACTCATTGTCATCTCTGTGGTTCTGGGGGTCACTAGGCTCAGGTGCTGGTGCTTACTCATGGTCTTTCATGTCGTCACCATCAGTAATGGCTGGGCCTGGAGTTCTGTGCGAGCTTCCGCTCGTGTTTGGTGGTTGATGCCTGATGCTGGCTGGAAGGCCTGCAGCAGCCTCGCTGCGTGCGCTGGGCTTCTCTATAGTATGGTGATTGGGCAAGAAACCTCAGGGTTAGTTTCCTGAGAAAGAGAGAGGGTGGGAGGGTGCAAGTGTGCATGTGAGGGGGAGGTTGTATCACCTTTAACTGCATAACATTGAAAGTCATGTGGTGTCATTTCCACGACGTTCTATGCTTTAGAAGTGAGTCACCAAGGCTAGCACGTGATCAAGAGGAAAATAATTTATACTCTATCGCTTAATGGGAGGAGTGTAAAAAATTTGCAAATGCATATTAAAACCAGCACAGGTAGTCTTACATTAAAGAATATTAAAGCTAAATAAATAATGAACTTGTATATAATCAGGGTGATAGACAGAATAGTTAACTGCTGATTTGGCATGGGCACTGACCCATAAGAAGAAATAATGCCCACAAGTGGAAGGACCTGTTGGTTCAACCACCTAGTATCGACTCTGGCTATAATCAAGGCTTCAGACATGCCCTAGACTCAGCAAGGGCTCTGGGAGATCAGGAAAGAATGAGGTCATGTGTCCAGAAGAAGATGTTTCCAGGTATTCTTGCTTTAAGACCCCACCTGGCTTCTTGATCCCTTTGTCTACTGTTGTCCATTAACAGTTAGAAACATCTTTTCTTGCCCTCATGTTTGGAAAGTTTATCCTTTGCTAAAAGGAGGGGATTCAGGAAGGAAAGGGAGGGAAGGGAGGAGCTCTAGGGGCACACATACCCTTCTGTGTGTATTATGGTTCAGCACAATGTCATTTAGAGGCACCTAGATTCTTCCCTCTTGACCCAAATAGCAGACAGGCAAATGCTGGGTTTGGGTAGTGTACTAGTTATCTGTTGCTGCTGTAACAAAATCACCACAACTATAGCAACTTAAAGCAACGTGTATCATCTCGTGGGGTCTGGAGGTGTGAAGGGTGGCTTGGCTGTTTCTTCTCTCAGAGTTTCAGAGCCAGAGGCCACTCTCCTGTCCTTGCACATGACTTCTATCTGTTGCAACCAGCAACAGTGTGTCCAGTCCCTCTTACCCTTGGATTCTCTCTGACTTTCCCTTCTGCAGCAACTCTTCTGACTTCCTTCTCTGTTGCATCTCTCAACTGCTAGCCAGAAAAGGTTCTGTGTTCTTAAGGATTATGTGGTTAGTTTGGGCCCACCTGTTTTAAGGTCCTTAATGTTAATTACACCTGCAAAATCCTTTCTGCCTTGTAATATTCTGGATCTGGGCATCAGGATGAGGGCATTTCTGGGGGTAGGGTAGGCTGTAACCCTATCTACTATAGGTAGCGATATTAGGTCAGTAAAGGTACTCGACTCATTTCCACAGGAAAGTAGACTTGCCAGTAAGTCTGTATTAAACATTAGGGTTTATTGAAATCCTAAACCTAAATCTGGAGAAAAGAATATATATTTTATGGAACTGCATTAGATTTCAGTTTTGATATGAGGAGGCACTTTGTGTCTTGATTTCCAGTATAATATACTGTTTAAGAGAACTCATTTTGAAGTCAAACCAGACATTGTGCAAGTATATAATGCTTGTAAGTCTCGTCCTCATCTGTGAAATGGGCTCATCATTCCTTTAGTTGCTGTGGGGGGAAAAAACCTTTGATTAGAAAGTACTTAACATTGCTACTTGAATTTAAAAAAAGTACTTAGAGCATAGTAAGTGCTCAGTGAATGTTAGCTACTACTACTAGTAATGATAATTATTATCTAGTGGATCAATTAGAATTAACACTTGGATTTCCTACCAGTTTCCTGTTAGTTGAACACAAATTGGTAGCCTGGCATAATGATTCTATTAGACATAAATTAGTGAAATAATTGCTCTGAAGAGGAATTTACATAAGTCTATTTTAAGAGGTCTAGCTTAAGGCAAATGACTTGATTTTAATCAAGGCATTGTAGGGAATTTTAGCTTCATGATACACATTGATTTTAATCACAAAGGACAGTGGCTGACATTCACCCCTTTTTAAGTCAGGGACTGACAGAGGATGGCTTGTGGGCGCAATCCTGTCTGCTGCTGTTCTTAGAGATAAATGTTTTTAGTTGATTTGATGCTGAGAAGCACTAACTTTGAACCCAAATTATGCAAATGTCATCCTGCCTACAAAGGATTCCATTCTTCTTATGAATGTGCCTGTTTTACAACAAATTGTCCTCCATTATTATATTTAAAAATTTTGTCAATAAAAATTTGTGGAACATTTTCTCTCACTATAGAAGTACCATATAAAACAGCCTGGATTTTGCCTCATCGGCAAAATGCCACAATGTTTACCATCTGATTCTTCACAGAAAAAAAAAGTCTGCTGTGCTCTAATCTAAGTGACCTACTGTGCATTTACAATGGAGTGTAGCTGGAAGGCACTCCCAAGATCTCCTAACACGATGCCTCAATTTTACAACTAAGGCTGAACCCCAGGAAGTAGGTGACTGTTCCAACACACCCCAGCTAGTCAGAGATAAGAGGACGAGCCATCAGATCCTATGGGACTCATCAGTAAACTTTCCTCTGGAGCAGCCGGCCCTCTGGGTAGCCTGCTTGTCCTTTGCTCATCTCTCTTTCCCTGGGCCTCTGTGCTGTCACCAACACAAAACCTTTCCACGGGCAGGTCAGGGATGATGCAGCAGAGACACTCAGCTGTCCCACGGACCCATTAAATAGGGCTTGGCAAACATCACTTTACTGCTGTTTCCATCTGTGGGGAGAGCCCATTAGAGTCTAGAATTTCTCATTAAAGCTGCTTTAGAAGCTCTGGTGCTGACTTTTTCCATTCAGTTAGTAATGGGGAATAAGCAGGCACGTTCATACATTCTCACTGAACCATGTTCAATTGAGGATGAGATAGTTCATTGAGTAGAGCAATAGCCCTTAAACTGAGGCGATCATTTCCCCATGTGCCCACACTTCCATTGTTCCTTGGTTATGTGCTCAGACATGCCACCACGGGGTGTTTGTTCTTGCCGTTCTCCTGCCTGGACATTGATGATGCCTTGGCGGTGTTTGTTTCTCCTTCTGCAGGTGGTTTACAAACCCGACCACTGTCAACGCCTTCTATAGTGCAACCACCAACCAGATCCGTGAGTACCCAGTTTCTTGTCTCCTTGTTAATGTCATACAAAATGTTTTGTTGACTGTGATTAAGGGTATGGCATGCTTTAGTCTGCCTCCCCCCAAAGCGATTAAGATGTTACTGGAGATGTTACAAAGATGTTACTGAAGGATGTTTGAGTGTCCCTACTCATATGCTCAGTTTTCCTGACTCCCTTCACCTCATAAGTTATTTTCATCTTTATATCAACATTGAGTTTTATTATTTTTTATTAAAAATATTTATGCATACAAGAACTGGGGTATAGGCCAGAGGTGCGAGGGTGGGGGTGAGAGGATTCACCAGAAACAGAGTAGGAAACAGAACAGGCAGATCTACTGAAATACACTGCTGAGGGGAGCAGTGGGTGTGACAGGAGAGGTCTGCTGGGCCATGTGGGTCAGCTCCATGGCTGAGGATCGAACTTGTGTGGTAGAGGCTATGGTAGCTTCATAGTGCTGACATTTTACCCCTTGCACCACCAGGGAGGCTATCAACATTGAGTTTTATAAAGTCAAGTGTGATAAATAAAACTATGGTGAAGTTGGCCATGAAAAGGAGCAAATTTCCACTTTCCTAACACTTTTTCTGATTCTGTCACCGCCATTTTGTTAATTTGCCGATTGGTGGGAAAAATAAGCAGGTAGCTGGCTGGGTTGTCGGACCCGAGGGAGTGTCTGTATATAAACAACACTATCCATGTAACCTTGTTAGAAATGCAAATTCTCAGGGTACACCTTAGAATTATTACGCACAAACCTGGACATGGAGCTCAGGAACTGGTTTCTGTAAACCAGTTTCTGTAAACCTCCAGATGCCTTGGCCTAGTTTGAGAACCACAGCCCACAGAGGGTCTGACCCAGGCGGCCCAGGTGAGAATGTGCGAACAGTGTTGTTGGTAATAGAAGAGGAATAACCTATGCACCAGTCCACAGGGAAGGGACTCGGAGATGGTGTGCCACACAGAGGAATGTCAGCAGAGGACAGTGACCGAGGGTGACATATATTCACATGGCTGAATTTCACAAATATTAGGTTGTGTGGAGAAAGAAACGACTTGGAAAAATAGATTGATTGTCACACCATCTAAAGTTGTGTCTGGAGTTCTATCTATCCGTAGATGGACAAGCATGACAAATGCCAAGTTCAGGTTGGCAGTGACCAGTGGGGCAGGGCGGGCTACTCCTGCTTCAGCCCTGGCTGGTTTCTCCTCAGCCTGCCCCTGCACCACTTCTGGTCTCCATTTTCACGTCCTCAGCTGGTGAATGACAACTAAGCTCACAGTTTAATCATATATCTGGATTGTTTGTTGAGTGCGGGATGCAATTTACAAGGCCTTGCTACTCCTGACTGCATGCCTTTCACCTTCCCCCTGGATACCTGTATGACCTCACAGCTTCTAACCTTAACCCCCTTTCAGTTTATTCTAAACATAGCATCGCGGCCATTTTAAGATGTCTTACAATCGCTCCTTGTTGCTTCTTCACTTAAGAACCCCTTACCAGCTTCCCATCGCACCCAGAATAGAAGTCAACTTACTTGCCGTGGCCTAGAGGCCGCTTATCGCTCTGCTTTTATCTCCTCTTGGTCCCAGCCACCTGGGCCTCCTCCTGTCCCTGGGGCCTGAGACACCGCCCTCTGAGCATTTCTCATGGGGAGGGGTGTTCTCTAGGCCTGGGAAGACTTCCCCGCAGTGATCTGCATGGTTCCTCCTCTCGTTTCCTTCAATGTTTCACTTCAACCACCTTCTCAGTGAGGCACCCTGCCTGCCCTCTGGCCCAGGGCCTGGCCTGCCATGGGCCCTCATCCCTGTGCAGTTGCTGGGCCAGCTCAAAGTCTGCGACTGTGCGTCTCTTTGGAGTCGTGTGGCCGCTTGTGAGCGCGGCAGTCTCTGCAGGCCTTTGGTCTGAGAGTGAGGGGAATAAGCAGATGGTGGGAAGTTTTGATTTCTATATTAATTCACACAACCCATTCAGTGGTTAAAATTTTTAGTATTTCAAATGTCACTCCTTACTATAGAAATAGTCATCATGAAAATCTCATTGCTTCCTTCCCTCCCCTCCCAGCTTTATTGAGGTGTAATTTACAACAATTACATATTTTTAAAGTGTGCAGCTTAGTATTCTACTATAGCTCCAAGGTGAGAGCTAAGTTGCATATGTTAGATGGGAACTCAGGATATTTGATATATTAATTACAACTAACACTGAGAGTATGAATAAATTTATATAATTTATTATTTAGAATAAGCTTTTGAGAAATAGAAAACTGTTTTAGATAAACCATTTTAAAATACAATGTTTTATTATGTAATATTTAGCAATGCAAAGGAATACAGGTTTCATCTGCTATGTAAAAGTAGAATGTTCCTATTTGGTAGGATTGGAGAAGTTGTTTTTTGGGTCTGGGATTGCTCAAAAAATTTTCCATATAAATCAATGGTAATTGCATTCCCAGGACCTCAAAATAACCCAGCAAATCATACCAAATAGGTATGTGTTCTGCTTTTGCATTCTGTTAGCATTCTACTTTTGGATAGCTGGAGAAACCTGTATATATAACATGCTAGCCTATATCATTATGAAGTATGTGAGAAAACAACTGATAAAATAAACATATGCATATGAATGTAACCCAACCAAGAACCAGAACATTGCATCTGTCCATGCTCCTCTCCATCGCCTTCTGCATTTATCATTTTGTTTTTTTTTTTAAAAAGCCAAATTTAAAGCCATTTATGTATCCCTAAATAGTGTATGGTTTATTTCTGCTTATTTTTTGCATAATGAAATGTATCATACTGCACATAATCTTCAGTAACTTTTCCCCCAGCCAACATGTTTTTAAGGGTCATCTAGGCAGTAGGTTTTTCATTTTCACTGCTGTATAATATTTCATCATAGACAGTACCCCATTACTAACTAATCTGTTCTATAGGTCTTATCTGACCTACATGTCGGTCCCCCAGGTTTTTACAGTTATAAACAGTGTTGCCGTGAATGTTCTTCTACACATCTCCTGAAACAAGTGTTTGGGTTAAATACTGGGAGTGGGATTACTGGCTTGTACGCTGTGCAAATACTCAACTTTACCAGATCACGACAAATGTTTTCCAAAGTATTCCAAGTGTTTCCATCAACTCTCATTTTCATTAACTCTCGGCATTGGTAGACTTAATTTTTCCCAGTGTAGTAGATGTAATAGATCATCTGTCAGGCAAGAAAAGGTGTTGAGAGGGGGTCTTCACCACTGTTTCCACACTCACTGTCAGTGTCACTGAATGCTTACTGTTCCTTTGGGAACTTAAGTATGCTTAGGAGTAACTCTGCATCCAGGCTTCACCCTGCTCAGCCTTTTTCTAATCTGGGAAGAGCTGAGCCTATCAGGCGTGGCCTGAAGGAGCAGCCATTTCAGGTTAGCCCAGTGGTTTCTTGAATCTCATGAGCAGAGGGGTTTTGAAATGAACAATTTGAAGCAGTATTTTAATTAAGAGATTCAAGCTGTTTCTACTTTCCTAATGACCAGTGCTTGCTCTCATTGTAAATTACATTCCCAGCCAAGATGACAAGGAATCCTTTGGGTGACTTTTTTCCTCGCTCTCTCCTTTCTGATTTTCTGGACTACAAATTAAGACAGGTGGAGTTCCTTCTTATACATTTCCCCACTGGGTTTCCTGGGACTCCCCCTAGCCCCCAACTGCCTTCTTTGTGCTTCACTAAAGAAGTGAAAAATTGAGGTGATTTTCTAAAATGAACATCTTTATTGATTAGGGGCTGATTCTGACAGCATGTGGCCATCTGTTTAATTGGGTTTCACATCTAAGATGTAACTATACTTAGTAACATGATTTATGAGAATTTCATTCAGTTCCCGTTATCATTTTCTGATTTATGCCACTTAAGTCTACTTCTGCATGCAGTAGAGACTTAAGCAGAAAATAGAAAAACCTGTAGGTTTAATTAATTTTATTAATATTATTATTAATATTATTGCTTTTGCAAATCCATGCCTTTGCGTGAATGCTGTGACGTGTGGCCCTCTTTCAATGCTAGATTTTTGCAGCGTCGTTATAGTTTCTTATTTTCTTACCCTCGTCAAGCTGGGTAGCAGTGTCTTTAGATAGTGTGTGGTGTACTGTGAAATGATAATGATTTCGGTCTGCCGTAGGAGTAGTTATACTCAGGAGTTGTCACATAATTTAATTATATTTGAAGTGATAAGGTGGTTAAAGAGGAAACTAGGGACCTTTTCCTGGGGTATTGGTGCCTAAGCTTGTGCTTCCTTAACTTGGTGATAACTGAAAAATGGTCTCCCGGTGTTTAGTAGGGAGACAGTGAGAACCTCAGTGGGCGACCATTGATTTAATTGTATGACCTCGCTCAGGGTGTTTCCCTTTCCTGACCCTGCGGTCCTCCCTGCCACATGTGGAGATGACCGGCCCACAGAGTTTTCGGTGAGAATTTAACATGATGGGTTTGAAAAGTGCCAGCACATTGCCGTAGTCAGGGTTTTCATCTCTACACCTGCTTGCGCGTCCTCCCTGGGGGAGCGAGTCTGTCAGAGGATCAACAGCAGAACGTGAAGGTTGGGGTGGGGGGTATTTTGAATTTTTGCTATCAAAAGATTTCATAAATTAAAACGGCATTTCTGTACATTTAAAAATATTGGGAAAATTGTTTGGCAGTTTGTTGCTAGCTCTTATTACCTAGAAATGACACTCCTAACAAGATAAATGGCTCCATATGCCCATCAAAAGACATGTGTACATGAATGTTCTTATAAGTTCTATTCATAATAGTGAAAAGCAGAAGAGAGCCTCATGTCTCTCAGTAGAAGACTAGGTACGTAGATTGTGGTATATTCAAACAAACGAATATTGCACAGCAGTGAAAAAGAAGAAACCTCTCCAGACGACAATATGTCTGAATACCACTGACTTAATGCTCAGTGAGACACTGTGTGTTCCCTTCATATAAAAGTTTAGGAACA